AAATTTGCAGACAGAGCCTTGACTCATTCTAAAATTCTTCCTCCACTCCTCCTGTGTGACTACTTGGTCAACAAAGTTGTCTCACCAAGCACTCGTACGTCCTAGACGAACCCAAAATCTTCGAACCCTTGCTTGTCGACCTCTATTCAATCGTTTGACGCCTCCTGTTGTTTTAAAACGGCAATGAAAGAAAATTATGTTGCGTCGTCTTCTTGCATAATCGCCTTGCACATCTAACATCGCAAAATGTGACTGAAACCTTGCCATGATACTTGCAAGAAGCCCAAGTAGGCAGTGAAAGAGTAGCAATGCCTCTCTCCACCATGTTGACTTTGTGTCATCGCGTGCTCGGGCTAGGCTGGATCCAACACCGTGACGTAATCGTTTTCAAAAACCTCCGTTTTCATACGTCCACACGAGTACAGCAAAATGGCGTTTTTTGAAAATCTCCACTCTGAAGAGCGTTTTTGAAAGGATGTTTTTGGTGACCGTTTTCGCCGGATACGTTTGGACGAAAGGCCCGACCGAAGAAAAAAATATCCTCGTTTCCAAACAAAAACGGACACGAGTGGACGGGGCCCTAGTGTTTCTGGTAAATAGCATGGAGCACTTAGTCATGTTTGTGTATAAAATTTGTTAGGGTAGGCTCCATTTCCACGTAAGGAGCGCTGGCTTCTTCCCGGCCGAACAGCGGCTCAAAGCCGGGACACTCATTGGTTATAAGATTGTTATGTCCCATTGGTTGACTTTCAAAGCGGTTTGATATTTTATTCCACTATGCCAACAAACATTTAAAGTATTCAAGCATTTTTGAGTGAATTTAGCGGTTTGAAATTTTATGTCAGATATAATGTCGGTATATTATGGCACATCACTTTTAACCTGGACACTTGTTGTCAACGCAACCACCTACGGACGATAAAATTGTAAGGGAGCTTAAGCAGTGACGACCGCGACGCCAAGGGCTACGCTTAGCAAAATATTAATCTTAAAATTTCATTCATTTAGATCTGTTTATTATAACAGAAAAGAAAATTCTAAAAACCAGCTGTCTTGGATCACGTTTTCCAAAATACGCAGAACGTGGCCATTCGATTCCACGTCGCTGTTTGCAGAGAACGGCAACGAAATGTATCAAGATTTACAACGCACGTGCATAGCCATTGTGCTGCGCATTAAGCCTTTGTATAAAAGACGTGCCTCGTTGTCGTTGCCTTCGTGCTTTGCTTAACCTAATATTTGAAAGTAACAGGTGGTCATAACGCGATGCTGCTAAGTGTATGTTTACAGGCGTAAGCTTGGAGATTTGTATTTTTAAAATTATCAAAAGTTGAGGCTTCGTTACATCATAATTAGTTTAAAAGTCCTCCTTCTGTATTAATTAAGGGAGAATAAAAGCCTTGTTAGTGTTATATCGCGTTGAATATATTTCATCTTTGATCTGATTAACTTTTTGCTATCCTTTCAGTACAGACAATCGGTATATATATTTACTTGAATGAAGTTCTAGTAGAGAAATCGTTAATTAATAGGATTTTGAATTGTGAGAGCAAAAGAAACGGTAATTCTCCACAAGCTTAATTCTAACAGTGACTCAACCTTACATGTACGGGGCCATCCACGACGCATTTTCCACCACAGTCAGAAGCTACTTTCAAACAGTAGTCTTTTGGAACTGTACGAACACAGTTGTAGAACGCCTTGTTACATTCACGGCAGCAGAAGAAGAAACAGTTTGCCAGATACACTTGGTTGCTGATTTCAATTTCCCCAGATTTCTGGCATTGAATGGGGCTACTCTCAATCTGGTTTGACGTCTGCGAACAGGAAAAGATTAAAAATACAACAATTAATTAGAACTTGTCATTTTTGTTCTTGTTCTTGTTTTGTTTTTTTGTTTGATTTGTTTTGTTTTTTGTTTGTTTGTTTTTTCATTTGTGGACTTGAATTTTAGAACATTTCCACTTAAGCTTGGGGAAGGAAAACAAAGACTAGCTTAATAAGTTAAAGGAAAGCAGTAGAAACGCTGTTACTAAAAATACATCAACAAATAATAGCGTGCTATTCCATTTCTTTCTCTTGCAGGGGCGTAGCCAGGAGTTTCTCAAGGGGGACGGCCCCCGGGGGGGGGGGCGTCACACTGTCTCAAAGTGTGGGTACTCACCAGATTGTCATGTTGTTTTTGCCGCCTGTTGTAGGTTGCTTGGTTTAAAAAGGCTTACAAAAGGAAAAAA